GCAGCGGCGGCAGCCCTTAAATATCCACAATACAAAGCATCCCCATAATACCCCTACCATATCCCTACTATCGCTTCCTTGTCCCTGGCAGTCTTCTGGAGCAGGTGGAGAATAACAGCTTAAGTATTTCAACGCCCGCTCCGCGGGCGCGGCTGGAGTTGAACACTGTAAGGCTTCCAATATCTTCCAATACTAACAGCAATGTTGATAATAATCTAACAAATTTAATATAATGATGAGAATGCTAATCATGATAATGGAAATAATGATGTCACTGATAACAATAAAAATGGGTATGATAATGATGTTGCTATATGATTATTAATGGAAAGGAAGATGGAAACTATCATTTTTCCCCTAACAAGCAAGCCTTAGCCCCGAGCCAACGAGGCCTGGCAGAGGTGAGCTTTTAATGGACCCTGGGGTAAGGGTTTGGCGTTTGGGTGTTCACTGAAAAGTACACTGATGAATAGGGATACGACGGGATATGGGAAGTCCTGGGTTGTTTTGGGAGCGCAAAGCTACTTCATGCAACTGCTGTTCTCCTCCCAGTTCTTCTGCATTACAAGGGCTTCTGCCTTGCTGACACATTGCTTGAACCACTCTGACGTCAAGTCAAGACATGCCAACAATCTGGACATCTGCGAAGTTTCGAAGAGAACCTGGCAAGCCTGCATATCGCTGCCATAAATACGGTGTTTGTGAAGCTTGGGGTCCTTCTAGTAGGCTTCTCTAAACTGGAGGGACTCTACTTCCCAAGCACTCCTATGGACCTCACTTCGGAGCCACCCCAAACCCAGCAGAACTCGCATTTCTGTGCAGGATGCCTCCTGATAAGGATGCTTGCGGCATGATGGCCAGCAGTGCCTCAGTAGCAGCAGAGATACCATGACTCAGCGCGCCAGAATGAACGCTGAATCAAGTGGAACAAGGCTTGATGGTCAGCAAATTCAGCGCTTATTCTAACAGGGGTACTTCTGAAGGAATAACATTGATGGCCACTGAGGCTTCTACAATTTGCGGCCAGATTGCTGCCAAATACAGACATGGCATTTTGCTGTAGCTACAACAAAATGACAGGACCTGTGGGGGCTGTTGGCTCTCCTGTTATCACTGCTGCTGCTGATGTTGTCGTCGCCTGGCTTTCATGTACTAGGCCTTTCGCTATCTGTCTGATTTCTGCAGCAAAGCTGAGGCTTCGTGTAAACCCCCTGAAGCAACACACAGAAGATCAGACCATCTGCTAATTTCTTGCAGCTTGCAGGGTGGGCCAAATCCGCTGGAGCCTCTTCAGAACATTGAAGCCTAGCCTATCCTACTACTCTCTTGGAGGGTTCTTTCAATGCTTAAGGAGTGAGGTGTTGGAGAAGTACGGGATCCTACAACTCAGCATCTCTGAGTTTGCAGCAAGAGCCTGATCCCAGCGTCTCTCCAGGCTGCAGACCTGATCCAAATCCTCAAAATTTTGGGTGGGGTACTTT